ATACATGCCCGGTTTTAGCATCAAGGTAGACGGTCAGTCTGATCAAACCCACGCTGATTGGCTTTTTTAATAATTTAACGGAAATCTTATTCCGGTTATTGCCACAGAGAATACATGGTCATGGTGATCAAACCCACGGTTGTAGATTTTAGCGGAATCAATGCCCTGTTCTAGCCTCAGCTAATACAGTCAACCTGACAAAAATCAGGATGAAAGCCCTTTTATAGTTCTTACCGGAAAACCAAGCCCGGTTCTAGACTTAGAAAATACAGTCAAGCCTACCAACCCAACGAAGAAAGAACTTTTAGTAGTTTTTATTGGAAGAAGAAGCCCTGTTCTAGACTCAAGTAATACAATCAGGCTAACCAAACCAGGAAGATAGGCCTTTACAATAGTTCTTAACAACAAACCACGCCCGGTTCTAGCCTCTTTGAATACATTTAAGCTGAACAAACCAACGGTAAAAGGCCTTTTAGTAGGTCGTAGTTGAAATCCATGCCCGGTTTTAGACTCAGGAAATAAGGTCAAGCTGACAAAACCCACGGTTATATGCCTTTTTAGTATTTCCTAACAGAAATCAAAACCCGATTAAAGACGCGAGAAATAAAGTAAAACTGACCAAACCCACAATAAAAGGCCTTTTTTATAGTTCCTGACTGAAATCCATGTCCGGTTCTGGCCGCAGAGATCACAGTCAAGCTGAACAAATATTTTAATAGTTATAAATACATGACCGGTTTCAACCTTAAGGAATACAGGCAAGCTGAACAAACCCATAGAGATAGGCTTTTTTGTAGTTATTTACGGAAATTGAAGTCCGGTTCTAGATTATGGGAATACAGTCAAGCTGACTAAACCCACGGTGATAGACCTTTTTTAGTAGTTCTGATCAGAAAACAAAGCCCGTGTATAAACTCGTGGAATAAAGTCAAGCTGACCAAACCTACGGTGATAGTCCTTTTTCATAGTTACTTACGGAAATCGATACCGCCACTAGTTTTAGGGAATACAGTCAAGCTGACCAAACCTACGTTAATAGGCCTTTTTAATAATTCTTATCAGAAAACCAAGCCCGCTTCTATTATCGGGGAATCCAGTCAAGCTGACCAAAATCATTGTGAAAGGCCTTTTTAATAGGTATTATCGGCAACCCAAGCCGGGTCTCACATCAGTGACTACAGTCAAGCTGACCAAACACACGGTGATAGACACTTTAAGTAGTTCTTTATGAAAATCCACGCCGGTTCTAACCTCATGATTTGCAGTCAAGCTGACCGAACCTACGGAGAGCAAAATCACGCTGATAGGCCTTTTTAATAGTTCTTAACGAAAATCTATGCCCGCTTCTAGCATCAGGTAATACAGTCAAGCTGACCAAAAATATGATAAACAAGATCAACAAGGAATCCACGGTGAAAGGTCTTTCCAATAGTACTTAACGGTAATCAATGCCCTGTTCTGGCCGCAGAGATCACAGTAAAGCTGACCGAACCCACCGTGATAGGCCATCTTAACAGAACCGAAATCCATGCCCGGATCTAGCATCATGGAATACGGGCAAGCTGACCAAACTTACTGTGATATGCCTTTTTAATAGTTCTAAATTTAAATTCATGCCCGGTTCTTGACTCGGGGAATAAAGTCAAGCTCACCAAACCCTAGGTGAAACGCCTTTTTAGTAGTTCTTAACTGAAATGCAAGCCCGGCTCAATACTTAGAAAATAGAGTGAAGCTTACCAAACCCACGCTTTAAGGCCATTTTTGTAGTACTTTGCGGACATCTTTACCAGGTTCTAGCCTTGGGGAATAAAGACAATCTGACCAAACCTACACGGAGATAGGTCTTTTTAGTAGTTCTTATCGGAAAACCAAGCCCGGTTCTAGACTCGGGGAATAGTCAAGCTGACCCAAACCTCGTGATAGACAATTTTCATAGTTATTAAACGGAAATACATACTCGGTTCTAGCATCAGGAAATAAAGTCAAACTGACCAAATCACGGTGATAGACCTTTTTAAGAGTTTTTATCGGTAAACCAAGCTGACACTATCCTATTCTAACACAATCAACCTGACCAAAGCCACGGTGATAGGAATTTTAATAGTAATTAACAGAAAAACATGCCCAGTTTAGCATAAGGGAATACAGTCAAGCTGACCAAACCCACAGAGATAGGCCTTTGTAGAGGTAATAAACGTAAAAACAAGCCCCGTTCTAGATTCAAAGAGTCAAAGTCAAAGTTCCAACTTCATGTTAACCTTAGGTCATAGCACCAAGGAATATAGCAACACAACTCTTGGTGTTTGACCTTTTAAATGGTTCTTATGTCAAGTTCACTCACGCTTATAGCCACAGGGAATACAATGACGCTCACATTACCCACAATGATAGCCATATCTTATAGTTCATATCTCAAAATACCCTGCCGTGGTATCTTCAGGGAATACATTGAAGCCCACACAACCAACGTAATAGCCCAATTTAATAGTTTTTCTCTCAAATGAGCCGCATTGGCAATTTGTTCTTTATCTCTTTGTCGATTTTTCGAAAAACAGCACTATTTGGTACAGCCCACCATCAGGGAACCATTTGTCTGATTCCGTTGCAAATTAATCATAACACTAGTTTAGAGGTTCGTTGTCGTGGCAATATAAGGCAGGAAGCAAGGAAAAAGCTGACAGAGAACCACAATACATTGCCCTTTTCTCGCTTTGCGATTTGTTCTTTCTCTATATAACATAAACTAATCTTTTTTTTCGTAAAAAGCCCCCTTTTTACAGCTAGTCCACAGAAAACCATTGGTCTGACTTAAATGCGAATTAGCCATAACAATAGTTCGGAGGTTTGTTGTTACGACAATATAAGGCACAAAGCTCTAGCCCAAGGGAAATAGCCGTCAGAGCCCATTTTTGATTGGCTATTTGTTTTTTCTCTATATATTAAGTCTTCGATTTTTCGTAAATGGTGCTGTTTTCTGCAGGTTACCGTCAGGGAACCGTTGTCAATTAATCACACCAATAGTTTTGTGGGTTCGTTGTAACGGCAGTATAAGCTAAAAAGCTCTGGCCTAATGAACTGCCATCGCTTTAAAGAGTATTCATATATGCTAGGACTATTTTCAATATATTGAAACTTAACCCTGGGTTCAAACCCCAGAAGGGTCAACATTTTTTTTTCTTTTCTTTTAACATTATTTATGCATCTCTTATATCACTTTTGGGAAGAAAAGTGGCTAATTTTAATTATTTATTTAAAATAGGTATTTGTTTGTTAAAAAAACTGATAACAAATATGGTACCTGATATATTCAAAGTGCAATAAAATCCAAACTAGACGGTCAAAGTATGTAAGATTTACCAAATTGAATATACTTTTAAGAAAATTTAGGAAAGCTTTGAAAACAGGCCCTCATTTAAATTAATTTAAGGATAATTTTTGATTAGGCTCTCTTATTAGGAATTTGGTAAAAAAAAACGTGTTTAAATGGATGGGGTAGGGTAACATTTTTATACATTTTTCATAAATTTTGAGAAGAAACAACAATTTTTGAATTGTTAGCTGAATGTTACATTTTATTTCTTACCAAAATTTAATGCGAAAAAAATTTCATATGGATGATATTGTAAATTGTTTAAAGTTTCGGTGTCCTTCTTTCAAGATTAAATTCAGAAAAGCGGCAATAACTCAATTTCCGTACGGTAAAACTTTTTTTGTATCGTAGTTTGGAGACCTTTCTGTTGAGAAATGTAAGGGTTAAAACGTAAAATCGTATACATATACATGCACAGTGCGTTAACTGGAGTGCAGGTACATGCTCATTGATTGGCCCATTTTTGCTGGAGTGAGAGAGAAAGGAAAGTTGATAGAAATATCATATTAAGATGCTCGTTTGTTGGTTATACTTTTTTCTGGGGTATCATATTGTGACAACAGGGAGTGTGTTTGACTATGATATAAAAATTTTGCATACATGTTGTCAATTTTTTAATTCCTTATAGCCCGTTGGGATTAATATTAGTTATATTTTTTTTATTTTGCTTTTGGATTTTTGTTGTTGTTGTTTTGTTGTTTGTTTGTCTTTTGTTTTTATTCTTTGTTTGTTGTTGTTGTTGTTGTTTCTTTGTTGTTGTTTTTGTTGTTGTTGGTTTGTTTTTTCTTCATAAAAATGATTATGTTGGATACGATACTGTGCTACATGCTACTTGCAAAATATGATTCTTTTTATGGTTGTTTGTTTGTTTTTTGTTGTTGTTTTTTCCCTATCATGTTTGTTTACCCGTTACTAAAGAAAAAGATTTGTTCATTCACATTGAAACAATTTTGTTTACTTCTTATCTGTTAAGATTGCCAGTGCCTTGCGTCAATATTAAACAATGACTATAATCACTTAAAATGTTTTCCATGATCCGATCCTGCATACAGTCTCTTTTTTATTGTTTATGGAAAAAAGCAAACACGTTAATTTGGAAGCATGCTGATTTAAAGGCCCATTATGCCTCGGCAATGCTAACATTTTATTTGTCAAAAACTTTATTTTTGTATTTTGTTTCAGTTTTCAAATTACACAATGTACTCATTTGCCATATGCATAAACTATCTTTTGCTGATTTTGTGCAGCAATTGGTATAATTATAGTGGATAAGTATTTTGTATGGAGGTCAAAATACTACTTCTTTGTTAACAGTTGGATGCCTTACAAACACATTACTGCATTTTCAGTGCTACTTCTTCATCTAACATCTAGCATGATCTTAATTCTATTATGAAAACATTATTAAACGCATGTTTCACATTTCTACATGGATTTCTGAGGCCCAATGTGCCTTTAACAGCTAACGATACGTCAAAAAGTAAGTATATCATAAACAACAAACAACCGGAAAAGTATTGTATATATGCGTCGTATTAAACATAGGGGTAGATAATTTTGCTATAGTCATGTTATCAGTATTATAATTATCATCATTATCATTATTATCTAAGTTATCTTCAGTAAAGCAACAATCTTTATTCTCTAGATAACATCGTGATACGGACGGACACAATACAGGGTCATGTGGATGAACAATTTATTAAAATAACACGATTTTTCTCTGTGTTTATAAATACATGTTTATTCACTTATTTGGAATTGTTTACGTCAGGCGGTTAATTTATAATTTTTTGACATAAGAACAAAATATAGTGATAGTGTGACTTATTAGTAAAGGAATTTGTAGCTCTTGAAGTAAAGATCAGAAAAACGATAGGAGGTAGGTACGCCATTTTAACATTTCAAAATTTGATACATGTACAATTTGTTTACGAGATTTATCAAAATTAGAATACGGTACACGTTTTTAGTGTGGTTAATCGGATAATTGGATCACAAGAGAAAGTTCTAGGTTTCAAAAATATGACAAAATAACACTCATGAATGAATTAATCTACACGCTTTCTATATATTTCTTGATGATAATATTAAATAAAGCAGATAAGATGCAAAATAAAGTCACGTGACACGCGTTGGTCTTCTAATTGAAGTAAAAGGGTAAAGCAATTTAAGTAAAGGGGAAAGCTGACAATTTAAATGACCGGGTGTTTATATTCGCTGGTATAAAATCACACGACTGTCGAAGCGGTTTGTTTCTAACCGTGCGGCAGGGGCACATTGATTTGTTTTTATTTATGTTATGAAAATATCCAGCCATATTAAGAAATGTCATTGCTTTTTCTCTGAAGACAGCAGATATTCTATTTCATTTCAATAGGTTTTAGCCTACAAGTACTTAAAAAGGCAAAATAAAGAGCAACGTTTGATAATAATAGAAATTATGTCTTAATTATTTGGAAATTATATTTGTTATAACTAATAAAAGCAAATTTGCCTAGTTTAATTATGGCTATGTTTCTATCACCATACGGCCTATGAACCACTAAACTTAAAGGTTTATTTACTTTAAATAACTCAATGTATCAACAGTTAAACTGATATGAATTTCGCATCTCTGTAGAACGTAGATCTTACCGAGAAACCTTTCAGTTACCGCAGTCTTAATCATGTTTAAGAAAAATAGCATTGCAAAATAATACAAATACTTATTTAATTGCAAAAATAACTGATAACATATTAAAATACATGCCGTATTAACTGGTGTAAGTTAATCTTGATTGGTTACGGTAAAACGTTTTGTAACATTCAATCATCGCGCCTGCGCCAAGTAGTGTTGTGGCAAATGCTTGAAGCAGCGTGTCTCAAGATTCGAGCTTATTTTTAAGAACACTAATAATTTATGAAGAAAATAATTAAGATTTAATATTGAGAAGTGAACAAAGATGTAATTTAGACATTGCAAACGGCACTTACAGTCCACGAAAATTAACCCCCTAAAATGAGGTAAAAATATGCAAAATTAGCCCTAACATGGTGCCAAATACTGCAAAGTCATTAATCGCACACAGCTTGAATCTTGAATGATTTTACTTAGAACATTTACTTAAAATTTGATTTTCTTGAAATAATTTTGAAATATTTCTGGGGCATGGTCTTTCAGGTAGTTTTTGAAAGGCCCTGTCTGGAAGCATGTTACTTTAATATTAAAGGAATTAAAATTTTACATTTCAGGAAAACGAACGAAGATGCACAAAGGTTTATCTTCTGTGTTATCAATAATTATAGTTATCACCCAGGTACAGTGCGATATCGATTATAAAGTATGTAACCCACTTAATGCAACTGTTGGTAAGTCTATTTATATAAATTATCACTAAACCGTCTATTTTCGGTTATGCTCGTATATCTCCGCATATTTCCGTATATTTCCGTATATTACCAAATATACCACTTACTTTCTTAGGATCGAATGAACCCCCTCCCCACCAAACCACGGGTATTATTGTTGTTTCTAAAAAAAGAGAAATCCGTGTCCTTCACTTGATTAAACTGATTATTACAACAGTTTGTAAATGAATCACTGCTGTATCATTTTTTGCGAGTCTATATACATTGCAATCCAATGTGATCTAGAAACAGTAAAACCTGTGATCAAAGGCCACCTAAGTTAGAGACTAATAATGGTCTTTATAAACAAGTGGTCTTTAATTGAAGGTTAATTTATTCTATCTAACCAATAAAGGGTAATGGAAGGTTATCAAAACGTGACCTCTATGTTCACGATTATTTTTATTTATATATGGTCTTCAATACAAATTTAACTGTACATTATTACTCGATGTGTATGGTTTATTGCGAGCCACAGCACTTGATACTTCCGATCACTGTATGATTTATTGCAAGCTTATTTAAATTAACTTGTATTATTTATAGCGAGCACAGTTTACTCACTGTGTGATCGCATTTGATAAAGGTGTTGTGTCATTAAAGTAGTTTAATATGTTTAAACTAACAAAGTACGGTAGTTATAAAGGTCATGTGTGTTTGCACTTGATAACACAAGTGAATTATCTTATTGTGTATGTTAAAGTATAGAAAACTAAAACCTTACTTTTTAACTGTAGCAGTCACTTAGACTGATTTTTAAGAAGTTATGGTTACCGTAATACTTTACTTTAACTATTTGGCCTTGTAACGGTTTTTGTGTTCGTTTTTTTTTTTTTTTTTTTTTTTTTTTTTTTTTTTATATGAAATTCGGAAAACAAGAAAACAATAAGCTACTGCTTTTCCTCATATACAGCAGTACTGCTAGAACCAGGGAAATTGCTTAAAGGATATAAACCACACGGTCTTAACCTTAAAAGTCTTGAACGATTACATGTTAAATAATATTCTCTCAAACTCATATAACTTATTTTGTCTGAAATCGGTTTGCACACATGTATACTGACCAATGAAAATCTTGAGATTCGAGGCAGATTTCAGAAATAAAGTTTCTTAACCTCGAAGTCACAAAAACGGGTAACCGTTACAATTAAGCAGCCTCCTCTGAAAAATGCTTGAAAACTAATCAAGATTTACTTTTATGTAAATTAACATTTTAAAATCTGGTGTAATTTTTTTAACGACATGAATTTATAAGCCATTTAAATTACGAGAGAAAAAAAAATTACTTTACAGTACCCCCTCCACCGCCGGAACTTGCCGTGTCGTATTCGACGCGTGTGGAATGGAAATGGTTAAATACAAACACGTCAGTGGATATCACGGAAATTTACAACGGTATCACGGATATGGGGAGCCAGGACATGTATATTGAAGGTCAACATGTCAAGGTCGTCTACGATTATAAGGAGAGCCAGTATATAACGTATACACAAAGTAAGTGACCTATATAATATGAGCCGCATCACGACAAAGCCAACATAATGGGTTTGCGACCAGCAGGGACCCAGACCAGCCTTCACATTCGCGCAGTCTGTTCAGGATCCATGCTATTCGCTATCAGTTTCTCTACTTGTAATAGGGTTGGTAAGCGAACAGCATGGATCCTGATCAGACTGCGCGGAAGCGCAGGCTGGTCTGGATCTATGCTGGTCGCAAACCCATTGTGTTGGTTTTATCGTGGCGCGGCTCATATAAAGTTGTTATTCCATTTGAATTTATATGAAACTAGTCTGGGAAAGTAAAAGCGAGCTAATGGCGACATTTATAATATTTCTTGGACGACAATGAGACAACGACAAAAAAACGATGAGAAATTACAATGTGATAACCATTACATTTGAATCATAAATTGTCGTATAATAATCAAAGGCTAAATCTCACTTTTCATCACACAAACTAATACTTGAACATGTATTTTCTTAATATTCGTGCACTGAAAATTCTTGTGGAGTTTATTTTTTTATTTTTTTTTTTTTTTTTTTTTTTCGTTTCTGTAACCATCGTACCTTTTGTAAATCATCACTAATTTTAATATCTACTGCGATTTTAGTTTTATGTTTGCCAGTACATGATGCAACAAGTTGTACATTTGCATTTCTTTGCCTAATAACCTTTTATTGCTAATATCCGTAATTTTGCAACAAAAATATACTCATGAAATGGAGTGCTAGAAGGGGAATAATGACGTTATAAGTTTTCGTTAAGATTTAATTCTACTAATTAAGTCATGGAAACAAGCTTAGACGAAATAATGTTAGGAAAAATATCAGTTCCATTAACCTCGAACACAATAAAACAAGTGAGTTTCTTTGCACATAGAATATTTGTTTACTTAAAAGTAGTAAGTGCTAGAAGGGAAATAGTGACCTTATAAGTTTTCGTTAAGATTTATTTCTACTAATTAAGTCAGCCAAGCAAATTTAGACGAAATTTTTGGAAGACATCAAAGGGATTACCTTAACTTCTAACACCATAAAACCGAAGGGGGGATAGTTTTTCTTCTTAGTATTCTTTTTCTTTTTTCTTCTTTTTCTTTTTTACTTCTTCTTCTTTTTCTTCTTCTTCTTCTTTTTCTTCTTCTTTTTATTTTCCTTCCTCTTCTTCTTCTTTGTCTTCTTCTTTTTTTACTTCTTCTTCTTTTTCTACTTCTTCTTCTCTTTTACTTTTTTTCTTTTTTTTATACAAAGAACATTTTTTGACTTTAAAGTAACAGAATATCAATTTTTTGATTGATATGTACATTATTTGTTAATTACCACAAAATAAGAAGTAAACGTGTACTTCTGAGGGAATTGAGAATAAAACAAAATCGTTAATACCAAAATTAACTCTTCATTAAATTTCTGTGTGTTGTTGTTTTTTGGTATGTTTTTTTTATTGAATTTCCTTTTGTTTCTTTTCTTATCTTTTGTTTTTGCTTTTGATATTTTTATTATTATAATAATTTTTTTGCATCATCATCATAATTTTAATCATCATCTTCATCATCATCATCATCATCATCATCATTATCATTATCATCATAAAACAAGATACACGCAATTTCGGGCAAACATATATAAAAATGATAACTTTGAATTTGAGGAAAACAGTAATTCGCGAATATTACCAAAATTAAATCTCGCGTATAAAATCAGTTATACACTATTTAATGTCTAGCTTTCAGTACATGAAACATTATAATATATATATATTTTTTTTCAGGAGACGGATGCATCGTTAATGGTCTAGGGACGCTAGCGTTCTATGATAATAAAATATGGCTGACGGCATTCAAACTCTTGTACAATATTGCAAGAAAAACAGATGTGGTATGACCATATGTATATGTACTCTTTTTGTAATGATAACTTTATTAGACGACCATTCAAACGTTTCGATACACGAAAGATGTAATGAATAATTGAGCCGCGTCATGACAAAACCAACATAGTGGGTTTGCGACCAGCATGGATCCAGACCAGCGTGCGCATTCGCGCAGTCTGATCAGGATCCATGCTGTTTGCTATCAGTTTCTTTACTTGTTATAGGGTCTGTTAGCGAACAGCATGGATCCTGATCAGACTGCGCGGATGCGCAGGCTGGTCTGGATCCATGCTGGTCGCAAACGCACTATGTTGGTTTTGTCGTGACGCGGCTCAATTTATTAATCAAAATATTCAAATGTTGTGGTGATTAAAAAATATTGTTAATAAGTGGTTTCTAAAAATAGAAGCAGGCCTCTATCCCACTTGGCACCATTGTTGTGGTGTTGAAAATTAAAACCTTTTTGATTTCTATTAATAGAATTTAGTTACTTATTACCTAATGTTCTTAGTTTGCTCAGGAGTACTCTTTAATAGGGAAAAATCTAATCGTCAGGATGACACCACCCTTTGAATGCAAAGGGAAATAAAACACAAATGTTGAATAAATTTAAATCAACCAAATTTTTAATGAACTAAGTTTTTATTTACACTTAACTAAAAGTTACTTAAAGCTAAACAAGTTATTAATGTGTACTAAAAATGAAACAGTTCTTATTTAACCAAAAATATGAAAATCAGAATAAACTAGTTGAATAAAAGATTTAAACCAGTTAAAAGTTGTTTAAACTGTAATTACTAAAAATATGAAAAATAACCTTAATGATTCTGTGCTGTTAAACTAATAAACCTAAATAGTAGCAAGCCCTGTTTTAATCTATAGCAACAAAAATAAAGATCTAATTATTCAAAATGGCTGCCACTTAAAACAAAGAAAAGATATTAATTAATCTTAATTAATTCTGTGAAAATAATTACTTAAATTACTTACAAATTTATCAAAAATGTTTTAGTGATTTTAGATAATCTCTAAGGTTCATTTAAATGCCAAAGTGCCTAAAATAAATTAAATAATTAATTAATTAACCTTAGAGATAGAGATCTTACTTTTTCAAAAATCAGCAGCAGAATGATAAAATTGCCAGAGATGCTTGTATAAATGGACTTCTGAATCCCAGAGGGAGCTAGCATCTACCTACAGGTGGCACTATATGTAACAACTTATCTGATTGGTCAAATTACAGCCAACCAGAATTTACTTAACAAATACTCTAGGCTTATCAGTTCTTTACATAACTATTCTAAAAATAGATTATGATTCATGGAAAAGTTTAACATGAAACAATATTAACATTTTCTACAAAAGATGATAATTATGACTAATTATTACAAAAAATACAAAGTAATCAAAATAATCAAAATACTAATAAGAAACTAAACATATTTACAAACATATATAAATGCTAAATCAGTAACTTAATGTATCTCACTAAGTTTAAAGGCCAGTGTAAATTAAAGTAGAACCATTCTCTATATGTTGTATATAAAGAGTCTTAGGTTATGCTAAGTGTCTGTTAAAGAGTGTATCAATAAGTTCTACTATTAATCAACTATAATCAACATTAAACTAATGAATGATAAGAATGAAATGTCTATAAAACAATACATGTTCATTATGTTTAAACTTTAAAATAAACTTAAATCTAAGTTAAAGTTTAAAGACTTTAATATTTCTTGAAAAATATTCCTTAAGATTATACATGTTATACTTATTGAGTAATATTATGCAATATTATATAATAATTATATAACCTGTTGTAGTTGGAATCCAACTTTACAACAATACACCGGTTTTGGAAAAAGAAAAAATTTATTGCAAAAAGCAGTAAATTTTTTCCCAGATAAAACTTGGACTTAAACTGTATTAAAAATTCTTCATAGAAATAGCATATTATCATATCAAAAATGTTCATGTCAATGTAATATATGGATCAAACTGTAAAGTATAAAACAATAAACTAACAAATCTACTTAAAGAATGAATAAAGAACATATTTACAAAAATGTACAAGCATGCAGTCAATGTGAAATATTATTTATCTCATATTACATGGAAATAGAAATATCTTATCAATAAAATCTAGGCATCATGTAAATACAAAATGAGAATATAATAATTAAAATGTCATGTCCTGGAATAGAAGAAATACTATAATACAAGTGTAATATTATCTATAAAGTATAATAAAAGTTGTACAATATTATTCTTCTTTCTGTCATCATCGGGTTTTCTTTTTTCGTCATGTTCGGGGTTACTAGTGTGCTGGCACAGCCACCTGACATGTTCATACTGTGCCCAATGTCTTTGCACTAGGTTTTGTCACAATTATGGGATTTGATACTTATGCGCGATAACAAGTTATGTTTAATATAAGTGCATGATGGCACAACCACCTTAAATGTACATTGCACCCAATGTCTTTGCACTATGAATATTTGAATGTTGCGCGATATCATTATTTGTCTCTCAGATGCACGATTTGGTAATGTTTCTCAGATGCGCGATTTAATTATATTTACTCAGATGCACGATCTATTGATTTGTTTCACTTTGCGCGTTATTCATTTCACTTATATCAACACTTCATTCTACACTTTAGATTTTCTTTATCACTATTCAAAAAGACACTTTATCACTATTCATATAACACTTTACTCGAATTATCTTTATCACTTTTTATACGAAACACTTTCTAGAAAAGAATATCACCTTTTAATAGAATCGATACTGAATTTTACTTTAAATTTGTATAATGCCTAAAGTTTCAATAAAGAATCAGTTACACCACCATGTTAAAATACAATCATAAGAAATATAGCTATAACAGATGAATAACAATACTGTATCATTAATAAAGTAGCATCAAAATGGTTAACAATTATACCATGAGTAAAACAGGTCTATCTTATTACAACCAAAATATATAATATCCAACTTAAATCATGTTAGTCTAATGACATGTAAAAATACATATTAACTTTTAAATAAATCGAAGTTTCACACCACTGTGAAAAAATCACAAAAAGCATATGTGTTAGACCTAGCTGCGATGGAGCTATGCACATCTATGGTAAACAAACGCTAACTTTAGGATCATTACTTAAGTGAAAAAAGAAATGTCTGTGAAACATATCACCAGACGCCTATAGATCTTAAATCCTATAGAAAATAATAAGACACAAACACTTGGTCTTCTAAAAACAACAAGCCCATAGCAATTTAAATTCTATATAATGGCACACATCAAAAGCCCATAGCAACTTAAATTCTATATCATGGCATAAAAACTTATAGAAAATTAGAATCTATATAATGGCACCTCAGTCCATAGAAAACTAATTTCTATCTACCAAAAATACAAAAATCTCATAGAAACTTAAATCCTATATCATGGTACCTCAAACCCATAGAGATTTAACTTCTATCTAAAAACACAAAAACTCACTAAGCACAATCTAAAGCAGCCTTACATAAGTTCAAACAGAAAAATTTGTACTTAACAAAAAAGTTAACAAATAATCATACAATATCAATTATTGTAACAAAAATCTAACTCAACATATCAATATCTTTATATGTATACAAAAGTCTTTTTCTTAACATTACAAAAAACAACATGGTATGGTATGACAGTGTAACTTACCTTAAATTACTTCTTATTAATTTGAAATAAATTGGAAAAGAGAAACGTAATAAAAGGTGGCATCTTTTCTATCACCCTAAATGTTTTTATACTTGTTTTGAATAATATTTGTCTGTCTATGAACAAACTCGGGTTTGCTCAGTTTTACGCAATCGCGATTTGAATAGTTACCGATCTTATTCTCTTGTCTCGGATAAACGCAAGCATCTGGTCCTTGGTATTGGTCATCTGATTGGTATATGGCATCTTCTCGTGGTATATTGTCTTTGCCGGGTATTGGTTTGTCATCTTTGTTAGGTCTGGTATTGGCATCTTCGTCATCGCCTATCGGTATTTTATGGTATGTGACTACTCAAAGGTTATCGTAAACAGTAGCCATGCAGACTGTCCAATCGAAGATTGCATCTTTTGGTCTGCTGTTTGTGTCGGTGATGTCTTCAGTTGGTATGTAATTGGCATTGAAGGGTCGTCGTTTGGCTTTCTTTGGCATCAGTTCTGGGTAGGGCGTTAAGTTGTAACCCTGAACAGGAATGGAGTCTTCTACTGTTGCTGACTTTATTGTGTCTGATGCCATTTGCGATTCGTCATCTGGGTTGTCATCGGCCATTTTCTTGAAGTTTTCAGTTACTGTGTGGACTGACTCTTGGCCTGCCGAATCAGTCCCTTGGAGTTTAAATGTTTCTTTGGTGGAGCTTCTTCGATAACTTTGTTGTCAGGTTTTAGATGAGGTTGACTTCTGGGAGGGAGGCAGCAGTCTTCTCGACAGTTTGAAGAGCAGTTTGTGTTTTGATGAAAATCTTTATTTCTGGTACTGCCTTTATCTTGGTAGTTTTCATCACCCCATGTATATCCATCTTTCATCAATGATTGTATAAATGCAGATGTGAATTGATGGAACTGTTCTTCTGTTATAAATCGGTTTGAATTCATGTCATGAGGATTTTCTTTGTGGTTGTCTGTAATTGTAAGAGCTGTGCTTCTTGTTTTACATGGAGTACTGGTACGTGACAGTCTTTGTCTGGGCTGGCAATGTTCATTGTGGTAGAATGTTTGTTCAAATTTGTATGTTTCTGGGTCTACGTAGCTGTCCTCAGGTTCTTGTTGAAAGTTTCTAGAATATACTTCATAAGTACGGTATGACGGCTGTGTTATTGGCGCATGACATGGAGTCAGTCTATTCAACGTTATTTTGTTGACTTGTGGAGTATAGCATGTTTGTTCATCTTCCCTGGTACTTCTTTGTAATAGCTGGAGTTCTTGAAGACGTTTTTCTAAGAGTTTGACTTGTTCTCGAAGATACAG